TCAACAGGTACGAAGTGATCGGAGTCTCCATTCTAAGATCATGGAAGAATGTGCAATGTTGTGATATGAACCCCACGGGATCTCTTCGGAGCGGTGGGATCTCTGCAGTGAGCGAGAGGATGAAGGGTAAGAAGCTGTTACTCGCAAGTATGCATGTTTGTTTATAGGAATGTGTAAATGGTTGATATAAAACAGAATTCGTATTAAAAGATCGCAGAAACAGTTCGTTTATAAGTATGGCCGTCCACCAAAAGTGGTAATTTTCGATGAACCTAGACACAATCCCATAAAGTACAAATATCCTTATATCAGAAGAGTACCGTGCTCTTAGGTATAGGTATATACAAATGTGAGGTATATACATGCAAGTCGAAACCCAAATGCGTGAATATTTCATCTCCATCTCCATCTCCATCCCTATGTAATGTTTCCTCCTAGATCCTCGCCATCTCCGTCCTCCTACTGCACAAAATCCAAACACGAAGCATAAGTCTGGTTTGCACTATCACGAACTCCTATTAGCACCAACCCTTCACCCCCTCCCCCATTCGCAAGATCACTCACGGCCTTGAATCCCACCAAAACTGCAGCACACACTTCCCGGGCGTACTGCACTTCCCACACAATTTCGGCATTGTAAAATTCCAATGCAACTCATCCGGATTCCCATTATTCTCTGCAAAAACCGCAAACGTCTTAATCGGCTTTCCAATCATCGTATTACTTGCCGTATCGATGACACTAAGATTTGCAACCCCTGGATGAGGCGCCCGGATATCGTAGCTTACGGGGATAACCATCCCAGCCGAATAATTGAATGTGTGTGCAGCGTTGTCAGAGAATTGCATTCCCTTGCAGAGATCGAGGTTGCATTTGGAAGGGTTGTAGGTGGGGTCGTGGCCGATTTGTTGGTGCTGTAAGGAGGGTGTTAGGATGGATGGATGGAGGAAGGGAAGGGGGGAGTGTACGAGGTTTTGAACAGGGCCGTATTGGTCGGAGCTTAAGACGCTGTATGCGGTTGTTCCGCAGGCTGCTTGGAAGGCGGGGCCGGGCTGATGGGTTAGTGGAGGGTAGTGAAAATGGAGGTAAGGAGAAGTACCTCGCGATGAGCTGGAGAAGTGATAATGCCGTGTCCAACGACTGATACTGCCAGAAAGGCGGTGGCAAAGAATGTAGTAGTGAAAAGCATTGTGGGGCAGTAATGGTGATCAACACGCAGACTGTTATTAAAAAAAAAACGATAGACTGAATAGAAAAGATTGAATGGAGTGACGAGGGGATGAATGGGCGAGGCATCATGGGCTATATATGCAGTTTCCAGAGATGGGGTACAAACATCTAAGGCCGCTCGCGCTCAGGATAAAATTCCCAACCGCTCGCCTGCCTTAGCAGTAGTCAGGCCGAAGGGCGCTATGCATTGTGGGGTCCGGCGTTTCGTTGTACATTCCGGACTGAACATTGCATGCTGCGCGTATATAAGGCGCACATAAGGTCCCCTCGGGTAATAACCGAGAAACATGCGGTGAGCATCATCAAGGTTTCTAAAATATTAAATTTCAGGGTTTAAATAAATTTTGAGCGCCGAAAACGAAACAAAACAAGCATAACATCAAACAAGACCACGCATACTGCAAAACGAACTGCCTAAATCGCGATTGCTAAGATATCCCCAAAATGGTATGCAGGATAAGCCTAAGCTTATTCTTCGTCTCCTCGAGTTCACTTACCCCAAACCGCCCCGAGGGTCGAGTTCGTAGCTGCATACCGTGGGGTTCCTATCATAGCCTAAAGAAGCAAACCACCACATTTTTAACGTCGCATTTCTTCCAGGATCATGGACGCGAGGGTAATGGTAACCCGGATCCTCGATTCTCCGTATGGGTTGATCGAGGGAATAAAATTGCAATTTTTGCAGATTTACTTGAGATAAAACAATCACAAAATGGTTCCTTGAAAGTACGTTTCCTCATTAATAGTTTACCACAACAGACCAACTGCATAAAACTACTATGTTTTTTCTTATGGTGGTTTTTGCACATGTATATGAGGGTAAAATGGCTGCTGTAGATAATTGCAAAACGTTAACGATCTCCTCCGGAGCATACAAAATAACCACGTTACGGTACATAGGTACCGCTACAGTGGATGTGATGGTGAAACTAAAGTAGCATATATGGTACCCACGCGTCTGGGCTTAAACGTGGGCGTAGGGATTTAGCTGTTGCTGGTTAGAATGTAAAAGGGTGGGAGGGAAGCCTAGTGTTAATATATAAGGAACGTGCTTTTGGAGGAGGGGATCTGAGACCCTGCTGTAGTCGATTCAAGCTATCCCGTTAACCATCAATGTAAACTCCGCTCCAACGTTTCTCAGTGAATCCACCCCATAAGAATAAGCTGGGAAAGGGTACCATGAGTTCTAGGGTTAACGTTAATGAACAAAACCACTGTGCAATACTATGAAGATGGACGCTGCGGGAATCTTTATACAGTACTCATTAATACGGGTTGAAGTAGAGTAAATATTACACTGCCTCCTTCACGTTGCGGTGGTATTCCCAGGCTGGTGAACGCCAGGATGACGGGCAGCGGCGGCGGCCGGAGTTTGGGTAGAACTAGAAGAATTCGATGTACTACTGTTGGAACCCAGATAGGAAGTATCCTCGGTTCTTTCGTATCTGTCAGAAAGCTCCGTTGGAATAGCAGGGTACAGCGGCCTTAAGCTTGTTTTTAGGCTGACCATGGTTCATGAATAGCCGAATTATCCAGTTCGGGTCGAAACGTATTCAAAACAATCTCCTGTTGGCTATGCAGGTGACGAAAGAAATGCATGCGTAATGTTTTTAGATATACATTTTTTGGGGTAGGTAGGATAGTTTCAAAAAACGAACCAAAATGGAGTTGTTTTTCGTATTTCAGCACTCGCGATTGAAAACTTTAACATGTCATTAGTTCAAAAACTGGTATGAAGAATTCGAACGTCGATGCTATTTATAACGCAAGGTTGATTTTAATGTTCAACTGTAACTATGATAAGCGCTCAGTAGCTGCGTTGCTGTGAAGATTTCTGAGGATTCTCTGGAGCTGATCAGATGCTTTTTATCTGCGACGAATCCAATGTATAGTAAGTGAGTGGTTTAATCGTAAATGGGGACTTCTCTGGTACTAAAGCTTCGGAATTTCAAGCTTGAAGTCTTCGCACAGCATGGAATTACCGGTATATCCTCGGGAGAGACATTGGAAATGTGAGGTGAGGCCACGGCCGATAAGCGCGGAATAATTGTAATTGTCATTGGTGGGCGTATGGTGGCAACTAAGCACGTGACCAACGATACACAAGCACACTGAGGCTGGAAGTTTCTTGATGCTGTAAAGACCCTTGAAAGATCGATTTCAACGGAATAGAACAGTAGGAGCGGCTTCTAAACGAGGGAGATTCTGAGTACAATAGATTAGTGCTCATAATGTTGAGGAAAAGAAACATATAATCAGCAACCACCACCCCTCTCCTGTTACGTAAATACACTGCCCAATGTTACCAGACAAATATTGGAATTTGTCCCGAAAATGGTGGAAATCAAAAGTAAGTACTTAAGTACGTATATCAATAGCAGATAGCTTAGCTTAGCTTAGCCGGTGCAATAAACACCACCTGTAGGACGGCCGGGGTTCGAAACCTCACCGGCTCAAAACTGCACGGCGTTACAAAACGCTCAGGTTGAGTAAGTGCTATAAACACCATGTTAGTCCTACAAACGCTAGGCTTACTCTTTTGTACTGTCGTGGTCCAGCTTTAGTCTTGTACAAGATGATGGGAAACCAATGTAAATATCAACAATAAATGGCTTAGCTTAACCGATGTTATAAATACTAGGTGCTATCCCTACTAGTTCGGTTTCCTTAGATTTTTTGTAGTTTTCAGCCTTGCAGGCTGTTTAGTCAGATCAGCGTCAGGATGAGCAGTTCCGTGTTACCAATTGGTTGATAGAGCTGATTAACTTCCAAGATAGGAAGTGCAACAAATCTTAGGAAACCAAGCGTGTAGGGGATTAACACCGGGTTCGAAACCCCAGACGCATGCGCACGAAACGCCCCAGGCTCAATACCTCATAACACTCCAAAAGTTAGGCTCAAAACCTCAGGCGCTAGACTACGGGTGTCACTTTTTGACCCTGCCTTTAGACCTTGAATATCTGGCTTAGGGTTTGTACAAAGTGATAGAGGGTGCTTGCATTTCCTAGAGCTGATAGCTTTTTTTGGGTGAGCACATTCTTACTCATGTGTGTGAAAGGGTAGAGTCTTTGATCCTAACTTGAGATTGTGCCTAAGTCGAGATCGCCAATCAGATTTCACGTAGAAACAGGGCACCAACAAGATCTGTAGCGTTTCCCTTGAAAATATCGACTTAGGCACAATCTCGAGTTGGGATCAAAGACTCTATTGTCTCTGGCTTAGTGCTGACTTCCCGTCTGGTAGCGATATGATCAGTGAGATGATGAGTAAATCGCATAATGTGGCTGCTGCGTAGATGGCAGCAGAGTTGTTTTCACAGTTAGCCTCATGAGTGATGCTCATTTCAGGTGCGTTCATAATGTGATTCGACCGCCTTGCCGACCATTTATGCATTTTAGAGTCAGTATACTAATCCTCAATTGCAGACTGTTTCTCTTGGTTTGCTACCATGTCCCCGCATTGCCCAACAGCACCTTCCACAGAAACGCCTAGTTCCCCATAACCAGACCGTCCCACTACGACCACTCCCGTATAGCAAAAGGCTCAGAATCCATCGCCAGGTCGAGCGAACACTTCAGTTCCAGAGAGCAAAGTTCAACCATCACGAAAATCTCCATAACAAAGCTCTCCCTGTCTCTCTACTCCACAATGAGATACCTCATACCTTATCACTACCAACCCAAAGGCGCCCTCATCAAACCTTATATTGTCAAGTTCAGATTATGCTACTAGTTCAAACCTTAAATTTCAACCATAGTGTGAAAATTTAGCAGCAGCGCCTGGAGTCGAACTAGGACCTTCAAGAATACGATAATAATGCCGTTTTCTTAACGTGCTAACCATTGCACCACGTCGCCTTAGGATGTTTGTATAAAGTCTCACCGAATCTGTTGCATAAATAGATCTGACCGATGACGGAGCTGACTGTAAGCCGTAGGGCACAAGGCACACTACTCTCTTGTATATAGTTCGAGTCTTTCTCCTTCTCTCTTCTCTCTTCTTTCTCTACACTTAGTATCTTAATCTATATACACGGTTCTCCCCTCATTATTGCAACAGAATCATGAATACAGAAACGAGTGAGGGAGTGTGAACTCTTGGGCAAGGTTCTTCATAGAAACGAAGAATGATGCCAGTAGTACTGATGGTGGTAAATGATCCAGCAAAGTTGAATGGCGTGTACACTGTCGGATTGCTGGAAAGGTTGGCGATTGCGGCGATACAGTTCCAAGAGGTAGATCCCCTGTTTGCTTGCCGGTTTATTGGTGCGTGTATGGAAACCGTTGCAGGCTCATATTTCAAGATTTTTTACAGGTCGAGGGTATCTTGAACTTGTATGGACCCAAGAAACTGCAATCAGAGCGAGGGAGTTGATGTTGGGTTGACAACCCTAGACCCTGAACCCTATCTAGGATGAGGGAAGTTTGTAATAACAATTTGCTTTGTCGTTAACGCGTTATCATACCTGCCAACGCTTCATCTTGCCCTTCCGAACTGTCGGTAATGCTGTATCGCAATGTCGAATTTGATGCTGATCTGAGATCGGTTATGGGGCTTGAGGGTAGCCAGAGTTGTCATTGTTCGCTTTTGAAGCTTCTTTTGTGCGGTATCTTGAGGTACTAACAAGTAATTATGCAGCAAAATTTGAGCGCAGGGCTCGGATGTTCACGGCTTTTGATTCGGTTGAAACCCTTTCCCTTTAATACACATGGAAGCGTAGCCTCAGAACATTACGGCGGGACAGTGGATGCGATCAAGATCAATGGTAATGGGCCTACGGATATATTTCTGAAGGAGGCTAATGGGACCTGTTGGTGAAAGAAAGGCAAGGGAAGTATGAAACATACCTCAGCATTCATAGGACTCAAAACATTTTGGGCGTTGCTTCATTATGACAGTCCAAACTTTAACCACCACCATTCAAGATGAAGTTTCGAGCGCTTTTCAACGGAACACTTGAATGGAAAGCTTTAAACTCCTAGAAATATATAAATCACCCTCTCTAGCTGCCTCAAACCTTCTCATTACACACACATCCAAACAACAAAACAAACCACAATATCATCTTCTACACTATCAACATCTTCACAACTTTCTTCAAGAACTCCCTCACTTCAAACTTTTACACAAACGATGTCTCGATACTACCGTTGCTTCGGAGCCTTCCTCCCCAATGGCGAACCAACCTACCAAGGGACTATGATGGCCGACAAATACGACCGCTACACAATCTCTCAGCGCTCCACCATCCCCTCGCAAGAACTCAAATTCCACGAAAACGTTACGGGCTTCATTTGCTTCGAATGCCACACCAGCGAGACCTGGGATAATCCCGACCACAGCAGAACCGTAGCAGAACGCGATAACCCGTACCAACTCCCCGATCGAGAAGTCATCAAGCGTGTTGCTCAGGTCAACGGCCATGTGCAGGCCTGTGTTAAGGGGAGAAATAGGATCAACACCTATGGTCTTGTGGTGGTCCACGAAGATGGGAATGTTAGAGCTCTCGAGGCCCATGTCACCAAATACGCAGATGGGAGTTTTAGGGGCCAGTATGAGAAGATGTTGGGAATGTGGAGGGCTTAATTTGGCTGAGGCTTTGAGGCTATGATTTAAGGTTTGATTTCTTTGGTTTGGGATTTGTTTTTTGCAGTTTGATGTCACTATATCAAGGTGTGACAAGGGGAATAGATTAAATTATTCAGGGTATTTTTGCGTTCGAATCCTTCACATTTAAGCAACGGTGTTCTTCGAAATAGCACAGCCAACCAAAAACCTCCTCCAAAAATAATGAACCTCTCACTCGGATTTCACATAATATTTGACGGGAGGTTGAAGGATGCTCATGTGCCTGGATTTTTTTTACTTGTTTCTTAGCTAAGACGAACCCGAGAGGAAGGCTTCACAAAGCCATCTAGGTTGAAGGTGACCTTAATAGTATTAGTTTTTTTTTTGGGGGGGGGGTGGATGGAATCTACTTGGGTGGCATTGCAACGTTGTAAGCTGTATATGTTCCGTACGGTGGACAACCCGTGACGGCTTGCAATCTGGAGCATGCCGGGCCGCGACCTGGGGACGGTTTGCATCTCGGAAGTCCATCTGCGACCTTTGAAGTTCTTCCTGACCCCAGACCATGTTTAGATGCTTGCAAGCACAAAAAATAAACCCCGTTCTCAGCACCCTAGAGGTTCCGCAGAGATGATAAAGTGGTGTTGAAATATGAGGGGAGAACCGTATGTATAGATTAAGGTACTAAGTGTAAAGAGAGAAAGGAGAAAGACTCGAGATATATACAAAAGAGTAATGTACCTTATGTCCTACCGGATGCCCTACAGTCAGCTCCATCATCGGTCAGATCTATTTATGCAACAAGTGGCAAGTGGAATGTGGTGAGTGAGTAATTATGTATGAGTCTTCTTGGTGGCTCAGTGTATCGGCGACCTCACTTCAGAACATTCTAGCTGCCTGATGGCCCGGGCGAAATACTGAGTCAACACTCATCTCACAGATATATCAGCAGTAGAATTGGAAGCTAGAAGAAGAAAATGAAGACAGAGCGGCGGAAAATATCGTGTTCCAGAAGTATAAAGAGAGCAAGATTTCCTCATAGCAGGCATTCTAACTCGTAATATCACTGACAGTCAAATGTCCTTTATGTTCTCGCTCTCCACTTCTATTCAAATCTCTACACCACCATTCTCAGACTTCTTGGATTTCCTCCACACAATATACCAACCGCAGATGTATTTTATGCTGAAATCTTGCAATTGTATGTTGTCCAATGAGAAGCTGTAGTGAACCTCTATGTAGGAGGCGTGGAATTGAATGAGATTTATTTGAGAAATTGGTAAATGATCATTATGCTGGCCTTGCAGATAGTACTAGTAGCTGTGATTGTATGCGGTCGGTGATTGGAGACGGTTCGCGAACGCTCACCAGTTTGTGAAATGGTCTGTATATGTTGTGAACTGGCGACCGCAGTTCGCGAACCGAAATGGTTGCCAATGGTACGGAACATATATAAGGTGTTGAGTGGGCAGGTATGTGTTGGCGGTTCAGGGTTAGGGTTAAGGAAATGCCCACCAAAGTATGGCAAATAGAGATGGTAGTGTAGATGGAGAGAATGGAGAAGAATCAGAATTGAGGGAGCATGTGGCGGTATATATACAGTACAGAATGGGCCGTTAGGGTGTAAATGAGTCCCGGAAAGATGTGGAGTGGCTAGCAGCAGAGTTGAAACCGTTGGTGATATCAAATATCATACTTGAAAAAGAGCTTTACTGATTGTGATAAATTTCCCTCCTCTAGTGGAATGGGTATACGGGGAAAGAAATCTCACGGCAAATCAAAGGCTAGATGAATGACTGGAAGAGAACTGGCTGAATGGAACTTCATAGATCTATCTGCACTATCAGCAAGAAGCGAAAGGCCTCATCATACACACAATCTCAGGCTTCACGAAGGCCCCTAAGGAAGCTGAAGGTGAATGAAGGTGGTAGTACTGCTGTGGTAAAAGAACCTACAGGCGAGGAAATCTATGAGAGCATTTTTCAAGCCCCAAAAGTAGAGTACGCACAGTATTTAGTATAGGTGCTTTGTTTTCTTGCTGGATATATCTTTAATTTTGCGCTTTGATCATTGTCATATATTATATATAATCGTCATACCCGCCTAATAAATGACCGCGCCTTGGACACTCTAACACCGCTTGGGCACAGTTAGTTAGTACAAGCCCGGCGGACTGCGTGGAGACTCTCCGCCATACCATACACTACATATCGAGGTATCACTTGTGCTTCCAACGCCAATTCTACATCTTCCAAATCTACTGCTTTGTCAGGGGCCATTGTCACCTCCATAGCTGCTAGAGCACCTGGCCATTACATCACCAACTCCTGGCCAGCACCGATTAATATTCAGCCACCAGCCACCACATCTTCTCACACCCGACCTCAAGTAGATGAGTTTTCCCCAAATCAGAGCATGTGAGTCATAGCTGATAGGTAGTAGAGCTATGAAAAGTAACTTGAAACAGAATAAATGTCGGGAAGGCGAAATGTTTGAATGTTTAGATAGTAGAAGGGTATGTGTGTACGTTACTGTTGATTGTGTTCGTTGACGAATAACTGATTACAACAACCTCGGAATATTGATGTCGGGTGATGGGAAGTCGAATGCCTTGCTATGAGGATCTCGGTGTTGGTTATCGAAACGCAGCGAAATCTACTTAAGTACATTTCGAGGAGTGCGTCAATCACACCGGCCACGCAAGATTTCTCAACGCATGCGCAAAAATACCAAACATTCCAATAGTCGATCGATTCGCCCCTCCTCAGCTCTTCCCCTGACACTATGCGAGGCAAATAGTTTTTATTTCACAAAGTAAGTCAAAGACTCTAACTACTAGTCAGTTATATCATAAAACTGCACTCCAACACTTTGACAATCCCCTCTGTTTCTACATCCCCACTGCAAAGTTTGAAACTAAAATTCAAGGAACCCCAACCCTCAAATTCCGAAAACCACCACTTCGCTCAGCCGGCGGAAATATAACAATGGGGCGCCATAAATTCAGACGTTCTGTAAAGCTTTAGTCCGTAATCGGCAATGGGAACCATTTTACAGTCCTATGTGCATATCATGGTAGATGGGAATAAGTACCTCTGCGAAATACGCCACTTAGAAATCACGTAGACTTTGCTACTTCTTCATTTCCCCCAGCCTTTATACCTGGTGGTGGACTCGTTGTATGTTGTAGGGCTTTGTCAGGTGTGCAGAGATGGGGGGTAGTTGCTTGTTCAGGCGTTCCAGAGGCTTCGTCGCGATGTTGGGACCTAGACACACAGACGAGGTTGCT